GTTTCAGTATATAAAGGAAATGGGAAAGGACAGTATGTGTTCTGAAAACGCTGGTGTGGCTGCAACTGCAAGCTGCAATTTTACCTGAGAGTTGCTTCTCACCTTTTGGAAATAAAGTGCAAAAGCACAGAGGATAACAATAATCAAGCCAAATCAAAGCTAAAAGATTAATTGTACAGAGGATACAATAAGAACAGGATGGTTTCTCTATGCTGCAGAACCAATGTGTCAGCGAAGGGCTGTGTACATTTCTAGAATACAAGTGTGGCCATTCATTCAACAAGTTTAACAACCCCCCTCTTTCCCTGCCCTTCTGCTGGGCATGGTGATGGGCACGGTGATAGACATGGGGGATAGAATAGTGAACAAGACAGCCATGGTCTCTGACTTCACTAAATTTATATTCTGACTAGGGAGACAGTCTTTAAACAACACCTAATTATAAAATTGCAACCGCAATAAGCAGTGGGAAGAAATGTGAGACGCTAGGGGAAATTCTGGTGGGGGCCCTGGCTTAGTCTGGTGTGTTAGAGAAGTCAGCCTTGAAGAAACGATACTGGAGCCGAGCTCTGAAGCAGAAGTAGGGGTAGAGGGGCTGAGGTGAGTGCTGAAGGCAGAGGAAACAAGGCTGGTGGTAGCACCAATGTGGGTGCCCCACAAAGAGGGAGAAGCCTAAGGAGGGGTGAAAGCCTCTTTGTACATGGCCTTGTAGGCCTCATTATGATTTGGGTCATTACCCTTGTACACCGGGAAGCAACATATTTTTGAAGGGTCATTCTGAGTGCAGAATGGAAAAAGGATTAAAACGAGACAAATAAAGATGTGGAAAGGCTGGTCAGCAGGCAAGAGGCCTGCCGGGAGTCCAGGTAAAGAAATGAGGGTGACTTGGACTAGGGTGGGGAAGTGGGGCTGGAGAGAGTCCAGAAGACAGGTTAGGGGGAGAAGGAAACAGGCTGAAGAGAGAGAGAGAGAGAGAGGGAGAGAGAGAGAGTGTTTGTGTGTATTCCACAGCAGTGAGAGGGATCAGATTATTTCTGTAAGCAGGGACTAGATTTTATATTAACAATTCTCTGCTATTTCTAGTTATACTCTCTTTTCCTTCATGCCAGAATCATCATACTCCCAAACCAGGCCAAAAGTCAGACCAGAACTTCAAGAATCAGGCATTCTTTCTTAATCCCCATATACAGAAACAGTGCAAGATTTGGCTTGTGGGGTCACACCCTAGGCTTTCTCACTCCCTTCCTGGAAACTTGTGCTCAACTTTAAGCAGAGATAAGAGGCAAGGAGGCTAGGCAGCTATAAAGGGAAAGAGGAAACCTCTAAAGAGCTAGTAAGAAAAGGAAGATGAGTAAATATTGGTTAACTGTACTGAGTCAGAAAAATATACTGATATAAGTTCCCCAGGCCTTCCTGTTTCAGGTGGAGATAAAAACACTCTTCAGAGTGAATGTTAGCTGCAGCTGAGCCTGAGGCTTTTATCTGCTGGAACAACACCTAAAACTAGGGCTTCAGCCTTGCGGTCACTCAGTAAATATTTGTTGAATTGAAGAATAACAAAGTGTAAGACAGGCTGTCCCAAGATCCTGAGGGCCATATATCCTCAGCACAATTTAGAGTCTCCAACTGTTGCCGAAAAACTGGCCTCTATACCCCAACAGCCGAACTGAGAATCAGAGGCAGAGTTTGGGGAGGATAGAAAAGAACAGCTTAATTGCTTTGCCAACAAAGGGAGTCATAGCAGGTGACTGCCTTAAAGGCTGTGAGCCCTTCATTGGGTTGAGGTCTTGAGGTTTTATAGAAAAGGCGATAACAATCAGGGCGTTTTATAGGGTGCTATATTCCTCTTAACCTCAATGAATCTTCAGGAGGAACTCCGGAGGGTCTGTCCATTCTTCTGAGATTATCAGCCTGTGATCTCTGTCTCCTTCCTGGTGCACAGTCTCTGGGTTGCAGTTATTCTCAGTAAAGAATGAATCAGCAAACAGCTTTTGCATAAGGGAAGTCAGAGGTTAGTTTGCTTTATACTCCTTTACGACTCCTATCACTTCATTATGGAAGGGAGAAGGAAATAGAGAACACAGGGGGGCCAGGTTGGTTACTGCTGTAGACACAGGAGCTTTGTGGCATGCGAAGTAAGTTCTGGTAATAACTAGTTGACCCTTGACAAGTCTCTGTCTCTGTTTCCCAAGTTTTAAAGGAAGGGGATTTCTTAACATGGGCTTTATGTGTAATTTTTAGTCTAACGTTGTATAGAAAGTAAGGCCCAAAACCTTAAATAGATTTGGGTGGGGAAAGAAAAGAAAGCAAGCCAATTACTGAAGGCAATTAGGGAGCCTTCTCTGCTACATTTTGGTCTTAAACTGAAACAGGATCCAAGTGTGGGTTCCTCTCTGGGCTTCTGACTACGAAGGGATGCCTGTCATCTGTTTTTATTCATACCAGCAGCTGCCATTGTCTAAAACAACTATTCTCTCCTCACTGAAGTCCTCAGTTTCCTGGCAACTTTCTGGAAACCCAGCAGCCTTGTCAAGGACTTGGTTTAGACTAAGTTTCTTCAACCTCAGCCTCCTAGGGCCTTTACCCAGCATGGCTAAGCCTCAGGCCTCCTTTCCAGGTCCCTTCCTTAGACTTTCATAGCTCAGGAAAAAGTTATTATTTTTTTAAATCCAAGAAATAAATATAATTTTACAACTTCTAATAAAGTCTATTCTCTCCATGTGGCAATGAGCACAGGGGTGGTGAGGCTGGCCAGGATCTCCATGTGTATCTGCTCTTGCAAACAGTGGCCTTTGGCTAATGGGGCTCACTGGGCTTTGAGCTATAGATCACAGGTAACTGAGGCCCTGGCAAGCTTAACTTTCTGAAAAGGGGTAAGGGCAATGGTTGGACTTCCTTAATGTTTTAATCAGGATAGAAATTAAGGGCCAGCGGTAACACCTTATCATAATCTTAATTTATTTGAAACACTGACTAGTAAGCTTTTCCTTTCTTTTTTTTTTTTAATAGAAAGTCATATCAGAGGAGTCAGCAAGCATATTCTCAAAGAGGGGTTTTTGACAAAGAGCCCTCAGATAAAAACAATTATGAATAAAATTTCAACAAAGGGTCTTTAGACACTATGTAAGTCTTCTTCCTTATAACGAATATTCAAGCTACCTCTTCAAAGGGCCTTGAAGGTCTTGCTTAAGAACAACAGACAATAGTCATAGTCTCCTAGTTCCATTAGGCAGAAAAAATTGTGATTTCAGGGAATCCTTGGACATAGGAAGTCTTTGCAAGATATCCTGTAATAAGGGTTGACATAGAAAAATGAAAAACCTGTAGACACAAATTTAAAGAAACATAAAAAGCATTAAGCTGATGTTACTTGGATCATGTTGAGGGACAGGCTCAGGTCTACCTGAGTATAGTAAAAGAGTAATATACTAGTTTGTCCTGTGTTTCTCCAATAGGGTTTCCATGGCAGTTCTGTAGATTTTCTGGTCTGTCCATAATGAATGCCTTTGCCATGGCAGCTAATATAATTACAACAGACTTGAAACTCTAAAGACATAGTCACCTTACTTGGATTAAGTTCCCTTGTCAGGTTCAGAATAGGGTAGTTGGCACCCAATCAACTTTCTTCTTTCCACAAAGAATCAGTTAGAGTTGTGTTGCCTAAAATGATATCCATTAGCCACAAGGCTATTTAAATTTAAATTAATGAAAATTAAATAAAAATTAAGAATTCAGTTTCTGAATTTCAAGTGCCATATTTCAAGTGTTCAATAACCACATGGGGCTAGTGGTAGTGCAGTTATAGAGCATTTCCTTCATCACAGAAGTTCTGTTGGACAGCACCAATTTAAAAGAATCATTTATTTGTAAATACATCAATTACTAATTCATCTAACTTGAGACACTCTCCCTAAATTCTTTTGGCTTCACAAAAGCAAAACTTACAAAAACAGGGAAAAAAAAAAGCAAACAATCTTCCTTCTACCTCTTGAAATGATTCTTTGATGTGACATGTCTTTTATGGCTTGTAGAAATTGGGATGGTCTTCCTGTTAGGTTGTTAAAAAGTTAAAACTATGTTTAAATGTAGTTTCAATAAGGGGTAGGGGAAGAAGGAATAGTCCTTATTAGTGAAGTCTGAGGAATGACCCACATTAAAGACATAATCCACCTTGTTCCCAAATTTTAAAGACTCTTGGACAAAGACTCCCCATATTTGGAATGAATTTAGGGAGCCGAAGAAGGTCTTTTTGTCTTACTTCGAAATATAACTTTTCCATCTACTCACTGATACATGAAATCCCTTCACCAGGGAGAAAAACATCTTATTAAACAACTACATATAAAAATTTAGTACAAATATCCTTGAGAAAAACACAGTAAGCTATAAATGACTCACATCTACCACCTTCCAATACGTTTTCATAGGAAATGGAAGAGAAAATTCAACGTTACTGAATTCCTAGATTAAGGTGGAACTGGTTGAGGAGAGAAGGATCAGAAGGAGAAACGTTTGAGTAAGGATAGATTTTTACTGCCCTGTTTTGTGAAAGCTTGGCCTGTGGTAGTTAGGGAATATGTAATGACAACTGAATTGACAGACTATTAAGTTTGAGTTTCCATTTCAAAAAGCAGGGTTCTTCTAGACCCTCAATGAATTTACTGATTGGCCTCAGCATGAGAATGGTCAGTATTGGTTTAGGGTGGTATCTTAAAGATGCACTTGACTTTTAGTGATGCTATATTACAGAATTTCACAGCTTGGAGAACTTTGGGTAGCATTTTGTCTACTCCACTAAACTAAGAATTAGCAAATTATCTCCTTTTAAATCTCAGGGGTCATCTCAGGGCTATAACCTGAATTTCATTTTAAAGTTGCAAAATCCACTAGATTAGGCTAGATCTTTTCTACCTTCCATCTCTGATCTGTAGTACAGGGCAAAATATCTTACGTTTGTGGAACTGCTGAGCTGCAGGCCCCTATTTTAAAGATGAAGAAAATGAAGGCTAGAGAAGGAAAATGATTTTCCCAAGGTCATGGAGTGAGGCGACAGTCAGACAGTACTAGGACAGAATCTTCTGTGTGTTCTTTCCACTGCACACTGCTGATTTCTCATAACTGCCTTTTTTCTTTGAATGCTTAGTTCTGGAGGCTGGTACAGCTTCCCACAGTTCAACTGGGTGCAATTACTGTCCTCTTTTATTTTTGTGTTTTTTATTCATTTGTTGTCCACCAGCACTGAAAGCATCAAATGATAGTATTTTTTTTTTGTGCTAAGCAAAGATAGTCTAGAATTAAAAAAAAAGAATATTAGGAAGAAATGCTGCAAAATATTAGCAACACATCTTTCTGGCTGTGGAATTAGAAACTATTTTTTATTTTCTTCCTTATCTTTTTTGATATGTGCCAGTTTTTCTACAATGAACATTAATATTAAACTTTTTATTAAATTCTTTTCTCATGAATTACTTTACAATCAGAAAAGATCAGTATATATATGTATGATCTTTTTTGATCATTATACATACATATACATATGCATGTATATAATCCTCCTTCTCCCCTTATTTCTACTGTTTGAAAGGATTTTGCCTTCATTTTAATAGAGTGGTGTAGCGGGCTCCTGTAAAGCAAGGTGAGGGCCACATTAATTATCCTGCAGATATTTAGGACAGTCAAAGAGGACACATTTATTCCACTTCATTTTCCAGATTTTCAGCTGAAAGGGAAGACTGTTGTCTGAAATGACTGCTGGTCTTTCAGCTGAAACCAGCTCAGTCCCCTTTTTATTTTTTGGCAAGGGCCTTAGCTCTCTGTAAAGGGAAGCCTTGCTTCATTCTCACCAGTCTATTGATTTTCATAGATAGATAGATAGATAGACAAATAGATAGATAGACAGACAGATAGTTTTTTTTTTTTTAAGGAAAAAAACTCCCTCAATTACCCACCTAATTCAAGGCAACAAGAAAGTGTAATCTATTAATCCTAGGGGTAGACTTTTTACTTCACTTGGCAGGTAAAATATTACTAAGTTCCTTAATATTATACCTAAACCTTCTTTCATAACACATAAAGAGGAGGAGTATAATCCTAGGATTTTGTACATGAGAAATAGAAATAAATTAAAAACAAACTTCAGAAACTACTAATGGTATGCGAGAGAGATAGAGAGAGAAGGAATGACTTTTGTTTCTCTATGAGTCAGCCTGGGTATGTTTTAAGGTGTTTTTCTGGATCTACCACCACCACCAACAAAAATCTAGGAAATCTCACAAAAGTTAAACTCTGAGTTTCTTCCAAACAGAGGAAATATGGAAAATTTGAATCTTCCAATAAATATTTGATGCATTTGTTTCTTTCCCCTCGTCTCTGGTAAAATAATTTTCTTTTACAAATTTGTTACTTTTGGGTTTCTTTACATTTAAAATAGACTTTTAGGGCCAAGAGGGATTTGTGAGGCAATGTCAGTGAGACTGGGAGATCATTGTAGGTGAAGTATAACAACCATAGCAGAGGAGGTCAGGAAAAAAAGTTACAAGATAGCATTGGTGCCTCTGGTCTTTGCTCAGTCATCTTGATCTTGCTGTTGAACCCAGAATATTTTTGCATAATCTCTTGCAAGGCTGGATCTAGGCAAACTTGTGAAAAAAGTGAACTTTGTGCAGTTATTCCAAGTGCCACCTCCCTCTGCATAATCTTAAATCTTTCATATAACCTTTATGAAATCTTCTATTCACTTTAAAGGGCCACATCAGTGACTCTACCCACTCCATGTCCTACAAGTAGCCAGAGTTTTCCCTCTTCTTCCATCTTGGTCTCATTCCCAGGGAGCTCTAATCTGGTGATTGGTGGTACCATCGTGTTACTCTGATCACACATCAGGTGGCCATATTATCTTTCTGCCCTTATTTGGGAGGAAGCTGAGATAGCTTTGTGAGATCTTTTCACTCTCTCTGTGAGCCAGCAACTTTGTGTGTGAAATCTTGAACTATTATCTTTCGGTGATAACTTCCAAGTCCGAACATTTCCATGCGGTAAAACTGAAGGCATCTCAAAATCAACATCCCTGAAAACTGACCTTACAGTTTTTCCCCAAGCTTGCTCTTCTTTTGGTACTCCTTCAATTCATTTCTCAACAGACTAGGCTTGAAATTTGCTCAATTTTACACCACAGGACCTAGTTTAAATTTCCCCTGCACCTTCAGATTTCTCCAGTTCCCTCAATCAGAGTAAATCACTCTCTGTACCCTGGCAGCTCTTTGCTTAGACCTATAGGAGAGAAACCACCTTGAAGCTACTGGTGGTCACTTCTGAGGATGTGTGTCTCTCTTCCCAAAGAGCCTGCAAGTCTTAACCTGTCTTTTCCCTGTCCTGGCACAGCAGGTTGGGGTGGGGTGGCGTGTCACAAACCACAGAAATTGAAGTTGCTACTAAAGCATGCTCCTCAACTTTAGCTATGCTTGCAAACATGTCCCTAGGTAACTCTCCTTCCCATTCTTCTTCGCAGCTATTACAATTGGGAGAACCCCGTTCCTCAGCTCCGTTACCTTGCCACCACCCTGGCTCACTCTCAGGAGGTAGTCATGCCTTCTACTTAATTCTGAAAAATTAACAACACTTAAGGAAGAACTTCCTTCCTAGAAGGTATTCATTAGGCAAGACATTTGTTTTTACCTTTTTTTTGGTACTTTTTTTTTTAACTTTGACTTTGCATCCTTACTCTACTATATGACAAGATACTTACTCTCTCTCCATACTGCAATTTCTTCATATGTAAAACTGGAATAATGTTAGTGCTATCCTAAATGGTTACTGTAAGTAAGTAAGCCACTTATGCCTGGCACAGAGTATGGCTTTATGGATCAACTCTTTGGGAGAAGAAGTGACAGTGTCCAGGGAATCCCACATTTATTTGACCATAGTATTTTGTTTTTTTCTTTTTTTCATGGAGAATTTCTTTACTATTTCCAGTCTGATTTAGTTGTGTTTCTGGGTGCTACATACACATGCTTCTATTCTAGTCCTCACCACACGGTACTTGTCTGATTCTCCCACATGCTCCTTCAAGGCAAGGCTTGCATCTCTTGTAGCCATTGCACAGTGTCTGGCATACAGAGTGTGCTTGAAAATGTCTGATGAGTGAATGAATACAGGAAGGAATGGTAACCTGCCTCTTCCTAGCAAAAGCACAGAATACTCTATTGTACATTTAAAGTAGTACTAACTGGGTGGTACCTGACCCTGAGAGTTGGTTTTGAACAAGTCTTGTGTTAGGGGCTATTGCAGCTGAAAATAAACATGAGACACACTCTTCCCTCAAT